CGGAGGACCAGCTCGTAGCTCTGGGGGGCACAGGGGAGGCAGCAGCTGCCGGGAGGGGCCCGAGGCCCAGGCGTGCCACCCAGGGCAGGAAGTGCCGGGAGTGGAGGCCCCACCTCTGCGCCCCACACTCACCACCCCTCCCTCGCCCCTCCCACCCTTCCAGGGCAAAGACTCCCGGCCGATAGCTCTGCTCTCTGCCCTGTGAACTCCGACCTCCCTTTGCTGGAAGTCAGTGTCCCCGGGTGTTACGGGGCGAAGGAGCCCCCAGAAAGGTCTGTCCACCTTCTAACCCCCAGAACCATGTGCCCTTATTGGGAAGAAGGGTCTCTGCAGATGGGGTTAAGTGAAGGATCCAGAAACGAGATCATCCCAGACTACCCAGGTGGGCCCCAAACCCATGACAAGGGTCCTCATGAGTGACCGAAGAGACACAGACACCCGGGGAGAAGCCACGTGGGGGCAGAAGCCGAGGTTGGGGTGATGCAGTGACAGGCCAGGGACCGTCTGCAGTCCCCAGACTGGGAGAGGTGGCGGGTCCTCCCGGAGCTCTGCAGGGATCGCGGCCCTGCCCGCTGCGCCGCCAGGCTCTGGCTCCGGGGCCGAGGGAATCCGTGTCTGCTGTCTGAAGCCACCAGGTCTGTGGCCGTCTGTGGCGGCCCCAGGACACGGGCACAGCTGGAGGCCTGTGGGTGCCACTGAAGGCCACCGTACAAACTCTCCTGGCAGGTGCCCTCACCTCTACGAATAGCTTGATGGCCTTGGAGCAGGTGACGCCAGTGGTCCCACAGGGGACATTCTCGGTGACGATGCGGAAGGTGCCGTGGGTGGTGTTGCCCCCACAGTAGTCCTGGACAGGAAAAGATCAGGCCTTGGTCACAGCCTGAGCATGTCCAGCCTGCAGAGCGGGCGGGGGCCGCGCAGGCCACGTACCTGGGCCAGGGTGTACTCGCAGCTGCCTTCGAAGCTGTAGCGCTCGCCGTCGAAGGTGATGAAGTGGCCGTCCCCATAGGCCACGCAGGTGCCCAGGCAGGGCCGGCGGCTGCACTCCCACCGGCGGTTCCTGCAGGTGCTGCTCGGGGTGGGGGGCGGGGCCTGTCAAGGCGGGCTGCCCTCCCAGAGCCCATCCCTCCAGCCCAGCCGTCCCACCCCGCGCACCACCACGCAGCCTTGCGGCCGGGCCCACGTCCGCGGCGGTGCCAAGGACAGGCCTGGCCCCCGGCCCCTTCCTCCACGGGAGGGCCCCCAGGCGCCTTCCAGAGAACGGACTCCTCCTCCCGCCAAGGCCCCCGCCGTGCTGGGGCCAGCTGGGCCACCGCCCTGGGTCTGCCCTGCCAGGCGCCTCTGGGACCCGCGACTCACCAGGTGTTGCAGTCGACCTTGATGGTGTCCCCGGGCCTGTACGAGGCCTCGTTGTGCACGCAGGGGCAGTCCTCCTCGGCGACGCAGCCCCCGGCCCCGTCCGACACCAGCCCCGGGGGGCAGACACAGCCGGACACGCAGTGCGTGCTGAACTGCGGGGCAGACGGCACCGGTCAGGGCCAGACACCAGGACTCGTGGGCGCCGTCGCACGGGCCCTGGGATGCGCAGGCGCAGCGGCTGCCAGGGTGGCACCGTGGGTGGGGCGGGGTCTGGGGTCAGCAAGCCACAGCCGCCCGCCACCCGCGACACCAGGACCGCCCAGAGCCCGGCTCCCTTCGCAGCCCCCGCGCCCTGCCGCTTGGACGGCGGGAGGCGTCCGCTGTGCCCGGAGACTCACGCAGTCCACGTCCAGCGAGTGGCAGCTGCGGAGGCACTCGGCCCCCGGGGCGCCCGCGGAGGTGTTGCTGCAGTCCAGGTACACCATGGGCGCCACACAGCCTGGGGGCAGAGCTCCGTGTGGGGGTCCCGCGGGAGGGCAGCCCCCGGCCCCACGCATCCCCGACTGCGTCCTGATCACGGCGCCCAGGCTGCTGCGGCCCCTCCCCTCCCGGAGCCCCTCGGCAGGGCGGGCGCGGGTGGCGCGGGCGCTACCTGTGCTCGTCTGTGGTGCGGCGCCCAGGCAGCTCAGCCTCCCACTCACACACGAGCTACGAGAGACAGACAACAGCCTGGACCCGGCTCTGCGCCCGCCTCGCGCCTACGTCCGCCCCTGGAGGTGCTGGGCGAACCCCCACGGGTGGGCGAGAGGCCGCCGGACCCTCGGGGGTTGGGACCTGGCCCTGCGCTGCGAGCGGCCACCTCCAGGGCCGGGGCGGGAGCGGGGCACCCCCGAGGGACACGCGGCCTCCAGCCCCCGGCAGGAGCCTGGGAGCAGCCTCCCGGCCTCCTTCCCCGCTCACCACACGGCGCCGCTGTCGTGCACCACCTCCCCGGGGGCCACCGCGGAGCCGTGGAGGTAGCAGGGGCACTCGCGCGCAGGCACGCAGGCGCCCGCGTCGTCCAGGAAGGTGCCCTCGGCGCAGGTGCAGCCGTCCACGGGCACGAAGGAGACGCCGCAGGTGACGTCCCCCTCGCTCAGGGCGCGGCAGCTGGGCGGGCAGGCGTCCACCACGTAGGCGTAGCTTTGGGACTTGGGGCAGCTGCTCATGTACTTGGCTGTAGGCGGCAGGGCGGGGACGCGGCGGTCGGCGGCGGGGCCTGGGGCGGCCCCGGCTCACCCCGTCCTGGACTCGGTGTCCCCGGCCTGGCGCGTGGATCGTGAGGGTGCGAGGTTCCCGCGAGGTGCTTGGCTGGGACCCCCCTGACGGCGGCTGCCCCCGGGCCCCAGCACCCCGACCCCGGGGCCGGAGGGCGGCGTGGGGTCACCGCCCCAAGGGGGCCGCTGCACACTCACCGCAGACGCCGTCCCTCCAGCCGCGGAGCAGCACGCCCTTGGCGGCGCAGGCGCGCACGTAGGAGGACAGGGCGGCGCACATGCAGTCCTCGCTCTTCTCGCAGTTGCACGTGTCGAACATGCAGTTCTGGGGGGGCCGGCAGGCGTCAGGGCCCGTCCTGCCTGGGCCGGAGCCCCCCGAGGAGGAGGAGCCCCAGAAGCAGGAGAGGGGCAGCATGAGGTGGGGGTCGGGGTGGGGATTCCCGCAGCTGCGAGCAGGGTCAGGGCCACCAGAGGCCGCCGTGGCCACAGGGGCAGCGGCGCCGAGTGCGAGAGGGGAGGCTGCACAGGAGGGGTCTCGCAGGGCAGGGCTGCAGGCAGGGGGCCCGGCCGGAGACACGGGGTGGGCCTGGGTCTGCCCTGAAGACACATCATGGGGCTGAGCCCTGTGCACTTCGGAGCTTTGGGCTCCGGGAAAGGGGCAGGTGAGCCACCGCTGTGGGCCGAGTTTCATCCCCCAAAGACGTGCTGGGGGGGTCTTAACAGCCTGGGGAGGGGCGTGTTTGGAAAGAGGGTCTTCGCGGATGTAGCAAAGTTAGGACGCGGCTCTGACCCGTGTCTTTAGGAAAAAGGTGTGGGCGCCAGCATAGCCGCAGCCCGGAGGGGCAGGTGGACCTGCCAGGGGCCGTGGGCGCCGGCCCTGCCCACACCTGCCGCCTCCATCCTCTGGCTTCCAGCCACCAGCTCGTGCCGCTTTGCCGTGGGGACAGGCGGCCTTGAGGAAGGGACCCTGCCAGGCCTCCTCCCCAGCTCTGTCCCCAGCGTCCCCCAACCCGGCCCTGGGGCCGCGGCCGTCGTGGGCACTCACCGAGTGGAAGGGCGCGGGGTTGACGACGGAGTGGCAGCTCGAGAAGGCGCCGGCGGGGTTGGTCAGCCATGAGCACCAGTGCCGGGCATAGTTCTCTGCGGGGGAGGGCCGGGGGCACCACGTGATCGTGCGGCTCCGCCCCGCGCCCCTCAGCCCCCGGGAACAGTGAATTGGAACCTGGGGCCCACCCTGCCGTGCCCCGTCCGCCCGCACCCCTGCCCTCCTCACACCCTCCTGCCTCCGTGGGGCTCCCCGAAGCCCCGCCCGGGGATCCCCACGGCCTAGGGGACAGGAATGGCAGGCCGGGTGGGACTTGAGCCTGGGGTGGCCCCAGGCTGGGGGTTACCGTTCTCCACGCTCAGGGAGCAGGGGTCCTCGAAGCTGTTCCTGACGTTGGGGCAGGCGGCCTGGGTCTTCCAGGTGTTGGCAAAGGCCGCGCCCGTCCCCTCCACCACCCCGCTGAGGGCCGTGAAGTCGTCCGCCTGGTTCTGGTTGAAGTTCCCGCAGAGGCCTGGGGGCGGGACGGGGGGACGTCAGTGGGCCCCATCCAGCCTGCGTCTCCCTGGGGCCTTGCTTCCAGAGCCCACTGCAGGTAGCCGGGCGGCAGCCCCCTCCCGTCCTCCGCACTTCCGGCCACTGTCAGACATCTGTGTCCTGGGCTGGCGCCGGCCCCTCCCCAGTCCCCTCTGCTGCCGGCCTCTGCCCACCGCCACCCCTGCCGGCCCCCCACGGAAGCCCCCGCAGCCCCACTGGGCCCTCACCGCATGTCTGGCCGCGGTATGCGGGGTCCAGCCGGACGAACACCTGCATGAGTGGCACCAGCTGCACCTGCAGCTGCAGGCCGGCGCCTGCCTGCGCCACGAGGAAGAAGCTCGAGGGTCTGAAGATGGTGATGTTGGCTGGGGGGGGGGGCGGGGCGGGGCGTCAGAGGGCGGAACCGGGGCTGAGGGACAGACGCAGGGCCCCTCCCTCGCAGCCTGCGGGGGGCCTTGTCACCCCCACTCTGCAGCCCAGACCCCACCGTGGGCTGTTCCGGGACTGCCTGAGGCCAGGGTCCGAGCGGGAAGCTACCAGGCTCTGGGAGCTGAGCCCGCCCTGGAGGCGCCGGCCCCGGCCCAGCTGCCCGGGGCTGCCGCGTACCTGCCGACACGGGCAGCTGGGTGTAGATGGAGTTCATGAACACGCTGCCGTCCGCCTGGATCCGGATGACCTGGTGGGGGTGGGCAGGGTCAGCGGC